CTCACTCATAACACAGCTCCCTAAATGCACGTAATCATCGCAAATGCTGTAATATGTGACGGCTTTTCCTATGGTGAGCTGAATCAGGTACTACATCATGGAACTTACCTATTTTCTTCCACAAGACAATGATTCTTTACAATCTAGAGAATCATCTCTGTGCCCCAGCCCTTTCCCCCCCACCCCCCAAAACCCAAAACTTTCCCGTTCTCTTGATGTGTAACTCCTTTCCAAGTAAACCCTCACATATACTCTTGCTGCTCAAACGCCTGCTGGTCCCGGCAATCAGATCATGACAGGCTTTCAACTAAACTCACTGGGTTCCTGAGAGATCTGACCTGGTTAGGGTTTGCCAGCTGTGGAGCAGGATGTGGCTGAAGAGCTGGGTGGGGGGTTGGAGGAGGAACCTGCCATGTCCCAGGGTGGGGGTGGAGGAATTCCGCTAGGCTTTATCAGGAAAACCACTCCCCACACAGCACAGGATTCAGTTTACAGCTCACCAAGTCCAGGTTTTCCTCTGTCTGAAGAAGCAGTTGCATAACTCCAAGAATTGGGCTCTGATTTTAGGAGAAGCCCTTTTAAATAGCCCACCCTGGGTAGAGGATCTTGCACTTAACACTTGAAGCCCTTTGATATGCAACATTGAAATTGTGTAGAAAGTGTATTTTCCAGCATTACTAACCACTTCTAAAATAGTCTCTGTTTTTCAGATTCTTCCTTCCTTTCTTCACCCTCTGCTGTTTTTCTCTCAACTCCTAATGGAGCCAAAGGTAACAGAGGGACTGACTTGCTAGTTCTCCAATATAAACAACCACCGACTTGAGGAAATGCTGGCAGCTGGTTTACATAGTGCAGGGCCAGCAGGGGGCGCTCAACCTCCAGATTAGTTGTCCTTTAGCTTATACCGGCTTAGACTTCAAAATCAGGCCACTTAACTGATACAAGGGGATGCTGCAGTCTTTGGTCACAATTTGGGATGTGGAGCCAGCAGACCTAGATTCGAATTCCACTTCTAACTTCTGCTGGCTATTTAACACCACGAATGCATCACAGGATCAAGAAAATGCATAATGTTGGCACTCCTGGGGCTACTATTATTGCTGGGGGAGGCAGAGTTTGGAAGAAGTCTTCAGAGGTCACCATTGTGACTTAGGTAGTAAGCTAGAGTAAGTTTGCAGAGTAGCTGGTAAAAAGAGTCACTGGTGCAAAGACTGGGCCAACTAGGTTCTCCCCTTGGCTTTGCTACCACCCAAGTGTGTGGTGCCTTATCTCTGCTGGGGAGATAGTACAGGCAGAGGAGGGTTCAAAGCTGGCCACAGTCATTGTATGGAAGCCTCTCCAAGCCCCTTCTACAGAGTAGGGAGTAGAATTGCCTTCCTCACAGGGCTGTGATAAGGATGAAAGAAATCACTAGTGAAACTAGTTAGCACCACACCCAGCTCATTAACTTGCTTTTGGTTTTTGTTAGCACCACCTATCACACCAAGATTCAAATGAGCCTCAGTCATTACAAAGAAAGAAGGAGAAATGTGCACCTAAATTTAAATGTAGGCAAAGACTTGAGACTGAATGCAAGTTAAATTTGTTTATGGACCTTTCATTATTTGTCATTTTTTGGCTTCTTTATGACATTAACATGTTTCATGTTTGATGTTAAATTGAAACATAGTATAACTAAATTTGTTTAAATGTACTGGTTGGATTTATTTTAGAAGGCTTTAATTTTTCCTGTATTTGGTACAAAAATATAGTAAAATTAAAGCATGAAAAGCCACAAAAGGTATGAGAGCCAAAGAAACCATTCACAGGCTACAGGTTTTTCCATGTACCCTTGGTCCTGCAGCACCATTACATGCTGACTCTAACAGCTCCTTACAGACAGCACACATGAAATAAAGCTCAGCTGTATAAAACTTATGATGGTGGTGCTTGAGACATTATTGCAATGCTTTAAATTTTGCTAATTCTCCTGTTTCAATTAGTCAATACCTGCCCTCTCTCCCCTGCCCCCCAAGGATCATCCTACTTTCTCCAGCACAAGAACCATTCTCAGGTCCTCACACTTCCACTAAAATCAAAAACATATGCCACTCATAACCTGCCTTGTATTCATTTGTATACACTGAACTCATTTGTGACTCATTGCAAAATGAGTCTTTGTGATCTATGAATATTAGAAGCTGTATCAATAACTGAGGCCGACATTATAATAATTTCACAATAGTGATACAGTTTTGGTTGGCATTATCTGATAGACATAATTTAAAATCATAATGCAAGTCAGAAACATCTATTGTACATTAGGAGGTAGTATTTTCTGAAATTACATTTCTTTGAAGAACAAGTAATTTTCAACTGTGAAGGACTGTTAGTCTATGTAAGCATTTAGTATCACCTGAGGCAGTGTGTGTGTGTGCATGTGTATGTGTATGTGTGTGTATGATTTGTCTTTTCCAGCAGCATGGGAAGCTCCAAGAGAGCTTAGTTTCCTGTGCTGTTGCATCCCGAACATCTGAAACAGTGGTTGGCACGTAGTAAGTGCTTAAAAAGTATTTGTTAAATGAATTCCAACTCCTCTCAGTCCCCAATACACATCCCTAAAATAGAATTATTTTCTTAAGAGGCCCAAGTGTATTGACTCACACCAGGCCCTCCATTCACTTCAGGGCCTTTGAAGTCATGTGTTGGAGTCCAATCTATAAAGCCAAGTCTTTTCATTCATCAGTAAAAGGCCAAATCCAGTTGAACTGTTCAGATTATTAAGCATAATCCTGAAGGTGCATGACAGATCTCTGGGTTCTACTCTAAGGACTTTGTGGGTAGAGTTTTATCTACCCACTTTCACTTATTGCTTTATATACTCAGAGTCATCCCCTCTGGAACATTTGTTTCTTTTTATCCCCACAAGGTCAGAGACAGTGGCTGCCTGTGCAGCCCTGGGTCCCTCCCCCATACCCCCACCTGACACCTTACACATACAGATGCTTCTAAATGTTTGTAGAATGGACTGAGTGACTCTCAGGTGATTCAAAGTGTCAACAAGCCCATTATTAACAACATTAACAACAAAATGAGGAACTAACTGGGTGGGCATTCTGAGCTCTGAGCTCTCCATTTTGCCCCCTAATTTTTATTCTGATAAGATATTTGTAGTCTTTTAACCATGGACACAATGGCCACTTGGGGGCTCTTGCTTCCCAGTGCCTTAGAGCTTTATTTCTAAAACGTGGTCACAAGCAAAGAGAGAGAGGTTTGCTCACAGAGGAGATACACAGACTGAACTCTTGAATTCAAGAGAACATTAAAACTGGTGGCAGTTCAGAGGTTGTACAAAAAATTAGACTTGGGCTCCTGTCCCCCTGCTTCCTGGCTGAATACCCTGGGTGTGTCATTAAAGGATCTGGACCTCAGTTTCTTCACAGGGAAGTGGAAAATAGAAGCGACACAACCTTCTGCAGGCAACGGCCTTATAAGCACATGAATTAGGGAACACAGAGGCATGACCTGGCCCAAACAACAGTCTTCAGCCAAAAAATGACCTACCCCTCCTGGAAAGTAAGGAGCCCACCATCACGGAGGTAGTCTATCTGTTCATTTCACTGCCCCGACAGACAGGGATTTTCAGCCATCACCTGCCTCCGTGAACCCAATGACTTATTTTATACCTTTCTCCATCTTGCCCCCTAATTTTGAAGCTCTATTTTTCTACCAGCTCTCAGAATTCACAACTTATACACAGGCACATAGGGGGAGGGGAGCGATACATTGGTTCCCCGGAGCCCCCACTCTGGTGATAGCTGATGGAGGACCCTCTGCCCGCAGCATCTCCCTCCTCCACCATCACAGGCTTGCCACTGAGCTAAGGTACTCCTGGGAGAGGTCACTGCCGACTGGTTAGTGTCTCAGCTATTTACAGCACGCAGTGAACTCTCAGGACACTTTTTGCTGATAAGAGAATGACAGCAAAGTGGCAAATACACAGAGAGCATGGCATGAACCTATGAGCTCTTGGTAGTCTCTGAGATCAGTGGAGAATATGGAAAGGAGTTGGTGAAGATTCCAAAGACACACCAATGCTTCTTTCGATTTTTGCCTTGGGCTCACCCACACGCAGATGCAATGCTCAGACTCACAGCCAAGCAGTGGGAGTGAAAAAGGGTCCCGGGCTTGCTGGGTAGAAAGAAAGGAGGCTCGCATATGTATGGGAAGTGATGGGTCTGGCTGAGAAACAATGGAATGATGGGCACTCAGTGGGGCGGGGGAGAGAGAAAAGAAGAAAATGACAAATAGAGTCCACCTGCCAGCATCACTGGTATTCATAATATTATAATGCACTGTGTTCCACGGCAAACTGTTAAAACTCCACTTTGTTTCTTCTTCTTAAGAAGATGACTTGTCTCTTGAAAAAACATGGACTTGTAAAGGCAGTCTAGAATAATGGCTCCATGTTTAGGTTTGAGCTCTAAAGACATGAGTTAGAATCTCTAATTCATCAGTGAATACCTATGGGATTTAGGAAAATGACTTAACCTCTCTGTTTCCTCAATTATCAATCAGCATGAACCCTTAAGGGGTTTTGTGTGAATAAAAATGGGACCTCTCTCTCTCTCTCTCTCTCTCTCTCTCTCTCTCTCACACACACACACACACACACACACACACACACACACACACTGCTTTGCAAAGCACCACCCATATGGCAAGCAAGACTCAATAAATGTTACCTGCGGCTCCATTTTACCAAATGCAAGAGTTTAAGACCCTTCTCTTTGGCTTCAGTATTCCCTGGAGTTTGAGATCCAGAGCACCCAAAAACATTTAGTTCTAAAGTTCTACATAGTTGCAATAGAAATACCTTTTTTTGCTTAACTGAAAGGCTAGTTTGGCTATTATTCCCCAGATCTGTTTTCACACAGGTTATCTGTCAGGCACCAGGGCAGGGAGAGGTGAAGAAAAGGGAACAGTATTGGGGCACGGGTCCTGGATTCAGACATACTCACCGAGTCTGGGTCTCTCTGCTGTTCGAGGAAAGCTGAGAATTCCACCAGGCGAAGTTTGGTTGTGCCAATGGAGCGGCCCTGCCAGGCAGGGACTGAGGGAGCTGGGGCCGACGCAGGTTCAAACCCTGAAAGACCAAAGTCATCTTTACACCTGGCCATTCACTTCCCTTGGGGTAGGGCTCTACAAAACGGATGACCCAGGAGGAAGGCCAGCAGCATCTGGGATGAAACTACACTAGGTGGTGGCAGAGGTCTGGTCAAGTTTCCTGGAGGTGGTGGCCAGCAGGCACACATAGTCCTCCTAATGCCAATTTCTGCATGGCTACCAGCTATGGCATGAGGTCACCTGCCCCTAACAAAGGGACCCAGGATAGAACAAGGCAAGGGTGATTGAGGAGTCAGAAATGAATGCTTCCAACAACCTCCTGGAAGACCAGTACAAGCCAGGAGCTTCTCCTGTTTATCCACCTCCTTTCTTAGCTGCAGTCAACCAGCATTAGAGAATTCTCTCAGGGTGGCCCAGGAGCAGAGGGCAGCATGTGAGTGCATTTTCAGTTTGGGGCTCCTATATCCAGAGCGATTCTGAACATGGTGGGGGACAGCTGGTCAGAGTCACGGTTTCTAGTTTGTGTGCACTGTGTTCCTAGCAAGCTTGCCTTTAAAGAAAGAGAACTAGGAATTAAAATCCACTTATCAAAGAAAGGGTGACTAAAATCCAAGTGTGGCCTCCAGACCTGGCTGGCTCATTTCAGTCCGCTTATGAGAAGGAGGGGCCGCAGCAAGTGTCCCTCCCAGGAGGGAAAGTGGTCAGGCTTCCTATTTCTTTAAAAGCTCATCTGTGGAGCTCTCAGAAGGTGACCGAGGGAGATGGGGAGGTGGGAGGGAGCCCCTATGCTCCTTCTCAGCTCCCAGGTAATCCCTGTCTTAAGAAGGGTTGTGGCAAGGAGGGGCCTCCATGGCTCTGCAAGAGGGATAGAATTGCAGCCGTGGAATGTCCATTAGGGGCTTCCTGAGAGGCAGTCCTATGGAGACTCACCTGGAATGGGGGCCGTGACCGCTGGCTGGATGGGGTAGGCCTGCTGCACGAAGGGCTTGACGCTGGGAACAAAGGGGTGGAGAGAGTCAGGAGCCATGACCACAGCAGCAGCTATTCCCCACACCGGCCCTGGTCTCTCAGGACTGCACACTCAGCTGGGGGTCCCCACTATCAGCTTCCCTCCCTGCTGGAGGAGCTGGTCACTCTCTCTAATGGAGAAGGGTCAGCAGGGTGCTAGGGACCCACCAGCTCCTACCAGTTCCACGGCACCAGCTGGATAGACACCAGCCTGACCTCCACGTGCTGTGGTGTCTGCCTCTGAACCCTTTCCTGCAGAGACAGAGGCCAGCGATTGCCATTTCCACAGTAAGTTTGGGAAATGCTTCAAGCTCTCCTTCTGCAGGCCAAATAGCTCAAGTTCTTGTGGGGAATCTATAGCCAGGATTTCCCTTCTGCTTTTATTCCAGGCTGTTCTTATCTTCCAGTTTACTGAGCTTGCTTCCTTTGCCTTCAAGGCATCAGAAGGACTTTCTATACATGGTCCCCACCTCAGGGTAAGTCAGAACAGAAAGGGTGCTGAGAGCACCCCTCCATCCTCTCTCAGGTGGACATTTCTCAGGGAGACCCTAGGCTCTGCCTGTCAAAGCCACCAAGGGATTGGGCCTGTGGAGGGTGCAGCCTCCCTGTTTCCAGCTGGCTGACCACTACCACTCGAGAGGGAGGAGTGGATGCCTCTTGGGGATCTGAGTGTCCCTTCCTGCTTAGGTGAGGCGGATAACAATGGCGCATGACTTCGGGGTCTCATATTACAAGGTCTTTCTATTCCCAAGCCCAAGGCAGACTGGGCCTAGGAAAACTCTCCCCCAGGATGGCCAGTGAGCAGCCCATTGTCAGTGGCAGCCCCTTCTCAGACTTACTCTTGTGAGGATCCTGGTTGCCCTGTTTGTATCATTCCTGGCCAGAACTGGAAGGCAAAATGCAAGAGGCTTCAGGGTTATGAGTTCACATCACAGCACAGTTCAGGGTGTCTACGCATTGCGACCTCTGCTAGAGACTGCAAGGTCAGATTATCTACCAGCTGTGGAGCGACCTGGTCGTTGGTCACAGTGGCACACACAGTTATGACCCACATCCTTGTACTAACAACCCGGGGCTCCCTGTAGCTTCTCTTCCTGAAAATCTCCCTGACGGCAGGGACTGGTATGTAGCTATCTCTTCTCCTGGCACCTAACAGGATTCTGGGTGCACTGAAGGAGACTCACAATATTCTGACTGCTTTACCCAGGCAGCCACACATCCTTCTCCTGGTTCTTCCTTCTAAACACTCCCTGCCTCCATGGTTTACAGAACCGAGAGGCCCTAGAAGGCACAGGCAAAGCTTTGGACAAGAGGCCCTGTGAGCTTCAAAACCAGAGGTTTGGGGAACTCCAGAAGCAATGCAGACACCACGTGCTGTGTCGTCTCTGAAGACTATTGCCTGCCGACCCCTGCTGGAGAGGACTCCCAGCCCTGGGTTTGAGGTTAGACATTACTAACCACGTGATTATGATGAAGATACCCAAACTGTTTCTGTTATTTAGTAACCTCCGTTTTCTCATCTATAAAACGGTGATAACAATAAGAGGCATTTAAGATGACTGTCAGGATTAAATGAGATCATAACATTAAGCTTCTCAGTCTGTGGCAGGTGCAAAGTGATAATGACAATAGAATCCTGTCTCTATAAGGGCTAGTAGTTATTAAAGGACCTTGGGACAGTGGGACAGGGAACAAGGTACAGGAAAAGCAGCAGAAAAGGCAGATCACAACCAAAAGTGCACCAGAGAGACAATCCCCTGCCTTAGGGAACTAAGATTCCTTCCTCTCGCCCCTCTCATTCTCCTCCTTCGCTTCCTTCTCCCCAGCCTTTGCTTTTCCTCCCCACATTGCTTCTTGCCCCCTCCCTCCCTGACTTACCCCTGGTGCCCCAGGGAAGGTGGGGCGTGGGATTCCAGGCAGCCCCAGCTTGTTGTGAATGGCAGTGGCCGAGACAATCTGGGCTGACGACATGGCGGCCATGTGCTGCAGGGCCTTATCCTTGGCAGTCTGATCCTTGAGGGTGACAGTGACACACAGACTTAGTACAGGACGCATGGCTACCAGGCAGCTTCAACAGGCACAGCCACGAGCACAGGGACTAAAATACAGAGCCACGAAAGAGGCCAGAGAAGCAAACATGCACGGATAAACACAGGCAGAAGGCTAAACACACTCAGCCTACCACTACCTCTGAACAGTTACTGAGAATACCCAGTAGCCAGGTTTAAAAAAATATTTTTAATCCGTTTTCCAACAGAATGGGAAGCCTCTAAGTAGAGGGAACAATGTATTTATTTTTCCAGCTTCCAAAGGGAGATTTTTCCAATTACTTAACATATACGCCAGGAAGGAAAACTTAAAAGCCCTGCTCTGAAGCATACAGTGGGAGGAGCGGTGAAGGGAGGCGTGGTGGTGGATCTGGAGCAGGACCATCCACAGCGGGGAGCCCTGTCCGTGCGTGCTGTCACGGGCCACAGCCCCACGGGCGGCTGGAGTCGTGTCGGGCCTGGACGCCCACAGACATGTGGTGGGGGAGGCTCAGAAGCAGAGGGGACAGAAGGGGCAATGGTGGAGCCAAGCAGCATGCTGGCGGGGTGCATGCTTTCTCGGATATCCCCGCCGTAGGTCTAAGGCTACACAGGTTCTCTCTAAAGCTGAGGACACAGGGGATGCTACAGGTAAGTGGTGTCTCCTTTCCTAAATGGCTCTTTATTTATTTATTTTGTAAAGAAAAGCCAAGGCTGATGACACAAAGCTAGCCAAAAAGTCTGCCAAGCACAGCTAAAATACAGAATACTCAATTTGGTGAAAATACTTACCATGCTTGTTACCTGGATACAATAATAAACAATTTGTTAAAAGGATTGCGTACAAAGGCAGGGTTATTTTTCTTCTTCAGTTAAAAATATATGTATGCAAACAAATAATAGTGGGGTATAATAAGATGTGTAGGATACTGGGGATGCCAGGAGTGTGGGTTTGTTTTTCACATTTTAGGAAGAACAACCCAGCTAGCGATCTAGAAAGGCAGCAGCCATCGAAAAGGCAACTCAACTCTTTGGAGCGGGCTCTGTGGTCTCCCGGGACAAGCGGAGGAGTGATCGGACCCCTGATGAGGGGCAGGCCCATATCGTGCCGCAGGGCTTCTTCTGGCTGTGAGTAGAAGGTCTGTACAATCTATACCAGGCCAGGCTCCATCAAAGCAGGAATTCAGTGGTGACCTCAGAATGAGAAGAGCCCCCTACAGCTGCCCTTCAGAGTTCAGGGAGGGAAGTCAAGGGAGGCTTCAGGCTAAGACACCGAGTACCAGCTGAGAGGTGGCTTCACAGTTACAGATTTACCCAGAGGTGATGAATAAACATGCTGAGGTGCCAAAGGCAAGACTGAAAGAGGTTTAAAAAAAATCAAAATCTACACAACAACTACTAAGAACTTACAGGAAAGATCGATTAGGCGCTTCCAAGGTGAGGATACCATTTTACCCCCTAACTACCAGGAACAGTGTGAATTTTAGAAATGCTTGTAACTAGCCCAACATTTGCAGGAGTTTTATACTATTTCATGTATTTCTCTCTCAATACAAAATATAAGGAGTCTCATGTTGCAGCTTGTTGGGCTGCACACGGTCGTTATGAACATTTCTAAGGGCAGGTACTGTCACTGAACCACACCTGGAGGGCCCCTGAATGCTGGTCCCCCACAGAAGGGCCCTAGGGGGCTGGAGGGATGCTTCTGCTACACTGGTTAGAGGGGGTTCTTCCAGATGTGGGCCCACTGGCTAATCTTCTGAGTGTTCTACTAATGCTAGCTTCTGCAGCGAACTTTTTCCTTTTGAGATCTGAAACACTTCAGATACTGGGGATGCCAGAAAAATGACAAATCTTAATGTTGGGGGAGTTTTATGATACACAGAGATCTCACTGCCCATCAAGTTACTCTTATTTGGCTGAGGTGCCCGTTGCTTCATCATCACCTCAGACGGACTCCACGTGTCACGAATGGAAAGCACAGCTCCAGCCCCACTCCCTCTTCTCCCTTCGCTGTCAAGAAAGAGTACCTTGACATCAGTACAAACTCACCTCTTTCTCTTTGAACTCTAGTCCCCAAGCCCCTTAGGCCCTAATGAGGTTATAAATGCTCTTGGGGTGATTTCTGAAACTGAAGAAATGGCACAGGTGTGACCACAGGCGTTTCTCCCAACAATGAACCACCTGATAACTTCTCCAGGACCCAGCTCAAGGGAGCTGGGAAGTCAGACGCCCCAACTTCTTGCCTGGCTGGCTGAGACGAATTCTGAGGACTTGGCTCTATTTCAAAAGCACAGCAGAGCACTGCTCTCACACCTGAGAGTTGTGTGCTTACAAAATGCTGCTGACAAACAACTCTGCTTGCCCAATCACAGAGGGCACCTCTGTGCACCAGGGTGCTGTGGCCCTGCCATCCAAAGTCCAGGTCCACACGGAAATCAGCTCCCTACGTCTCCACAGCCCAAGCTTACTCCACTTGAGTTGTGTCAAATGTTTCCCTTTGCAAGGCTTGTTGGAAAGTTCTTCAAAAACGGTCACCAATGTATGATACTTTCTTCTTTTAAAAAGAAAGTCAGTCAATGAGGGAAGGAGAAGCATCATCGCCTTGGCTGTTTAAGTCACACAACTTCAGAACAATCTTTCTTTTTGTTCGAGTGAGGGTTGCTTCTCTTATTACCCAGCCTTCTGCTAGGATCCCAAATGAAAAGTTCAAAAGCAGGAGAGCCATCAATTGCATCCACTGCACCCACTTGGTCTATGCCAGTAGTGTGTGTGTGTGTGTGTGTGTGTGTGTGTGTGTGTGTGTGTGTGTGTGTAGGCGCCTTGGGGAACCTGGTTCTAAACCTACCTCTGCCTGACTTTGATGGGTTGTTCCACTCCAGGCAAGTCATTTACCACTCTCTAATTTTCCTCATCTACAAAATACAGTTGGCCTCAAGTCTTCTGGTATTTGTACCTATGTGTGAGTTCCTATGTAAGAAAATACATCTTACTACATATAGCTAAAGACCAGTGAAAAGATAGCAGGATATTAACTTTTGGGCCGCTCTCAACCATCTGTCCTAATAGAGAGAAAGCCAAGTGTGGAAAAGAAATTTTACCTCAAGTAGAAGTTCTTTCTGTGCTTGACCTACCTATTTGAGAATAGGCAATTTTCTGCAAATGGACTAAAATGTCTGTTCCAGTGATTTCCTCCCTTTTGTAGAAGAGAAAATCTGACTACTCAATTTTATAACATCTGCCCTTTATCTATGATACATATTTGAAAATTAAAAGGATTAAAAATTTTTTTGTTCAAAATGGAAAGGTAACCCTGCAGATAATAAGCACCACAAGGGCGATCTCAAAATCAGAACTGAGAGCCTGGCTGTGAGACCCACTCATGCTGAAATGGGAGTTCCAAGGATGCTGAGCTGAGAGAGTTCAAGGGAAGGAACTCTTAAGTTGTCATTTGCAGCCTAGAGATACATATCTGGCTTTGAAAAAAAATTTAACTCTTAGTGTCAGAACTGAGTAAACTGCTTCTTTGTGTCACTCTAGTTTGGACTTTTAAACTTTGCACTCTGTCCTCACACTCACACCCGACTAAAGGGGAAGGTATGTGGGGGGAGTTTGGAGGAGGAGGGAAAGAACTGAAACTTAAGTAAATTTTAAAATATAGGCCACATTTGTACACCATATTAATTTTATTCTACAATGTTTTTCACACCAATATTTTTCAGATGTGGATGAGATTTACAAAGGATGAGCATGCTGCTTTATCATGAAAGACTGTTATTATGTCAATACTGTGTTACAGTTGTTGATGGCTTAGATTACAGGAGATACTCTGAATGTGTGCCTCTGTGCTTGAGGGCCTGCATGGACAAGAAAGATGTGTCCCAGGAAAACATTTAGACAACTTCACACTGACTCCTTACTAGTGATTTTAAGCTCCTCTCCCCTTAAGATTACAAAAAATGAGACCACAAGAAACTGAATGTTTTGGGAGTGGGGAAAAAAAGGTCAATCTCCCTTTTCTGACCAAAGCCTAACCCAAGCCCATGACCTGGAATGTGAAACATATTATGAAGCAGGGAACATGGATCCAGAGACTACTGAAGGGGAAAAGGATGAACAAAGTCTGTGTGACCTAAAAATGGGGGTAAAGCACCCTAACTCGGGGCACATGTCTCCTTACCCAGTCTACTTTCTTTACTGTTCAATTTTGGGCACATACTGTCAATACCCTCGCTGCCTCAATTACAAGGCGTCCAGCAGGCTGTGCTACAAATAAACTCTCAGCCTGAAACCTTTCAAATTCTCAATGTTACTAAGTAAACAGGCTTTCATATTTCATGAAGCAGAGCAAGGGCAGCTGCCACAAGTCTGGGTTCCACTGGCTGCCTCCTTTTTTATGGTTGAAATGTACACAATGTTTGGCAAATGTCTACATGTAATATACATGACAAGAAGACAGGGTAGCTCAAGCGCACATGGCTAGAAGGAAGAGCTGTTCAAACTCGGGATGTTTTATGAGTTAGTTTCTGACGATTATGGAATCTTGTTTCCCTACCCCGTCTCTCCTATGTGTCCCCAGCTCTTGACTTTTCTGGGGAATCAATCATCTCATAATTTTTAGGCATTAGCCATAAATAAATAATAAATATAATATAAAAAGGTTAATAACATGCTTGAATGTACGATATTGCAGTTACCATAGACTAAACGCTAATGAAGAGCAGACCAGATCAATAGATTCCAAACAGTTTACTCAAGGGCCTTATTTTAGAATTTAAAGCTAAGACTCCAATCTAATTTATTCATAAGGAAGCCTACCAGTACACCAGGGAAAATATCTAAAGTTAAAAAAAGACCATGGATTCAAAAACTCTTCATGGTTCTTAAATATGCCCCCCACCTTCAATATACTTTTCCAGCAATATTTAAAAAAAAAAAAACACAACAGAGTAAGGGAGAAAAGACAATCTGCTTGCAAAATCACTTTTTCAGAAAAAGACAAAACACAAACTACTTTGCTAAGAAGTAATTTTGCAGATGTTGTTTCTAATCTTGCACTGTGTGGATTCACATGACCTCTGCAATTATTAGTAGTAGCTCCTGAGCAGATAAACATCACAAAACTCTATGGTGGTTTGGAGAAAGGATGGAGGGCACTTGAATTTTTCTAGCCATGATCTCTAATTTGCTTATTATTAGAGAAAGCAGGAATAAATACAAAAGGGGGCTATTTCGGCCAGGCAATAGCTGATGCGGAGGAGAGAAGGCACATTCATACTTCTCCAGAGCTGCTATCTAATGAGGAGCAATTAATTCAGCTCATTGTATGTCCAAATGCCAAAGACTCCATTCACATCAAAGAAAAAATTCTCAAGGCTTTTATCATTGTTCTTTTTTTTTAATGTATTGAGCTATATTTAGTATTTTATAATTGTCAATAGTGTCTCCTTTAATTCTGATGGGAGGCTTTAGCATCCTAATGTTGTAGATGAGAACCCTTGTGTTCTGTAGGTGTGCCTGCTCACTCTCCACCAGAAGCCTGGAGTTTAGGGCAGTCAATGCCAGGTCTGTGCTCTGGGGGAGAAGGCACCCTTCTGACCTCAGCCCCCCCTCCTCTGGGAGGTGACAGTAAGAAGCAGGAGGTGGCTCTCCCCTGAGAGGTCAAAGGAACCCAAGCTGGCAGCAGGCTCGAGTTTAGCTCCAGAGGGAGTACTAGCTCCCACCACTCACTTTCCCAGTTTAATTCAGACACAGACACAATAAAAAGCAGGCTCCGTTTCAGGCAGACAATACAGGCACATCTC